GGGGGGGGCAAGCGGTGCGACCGCACCGGGCCCCGCGCTTGGCGGGTTTGTGCGGGGCCCCACAGGCCAGTAATTATAATATTACGAATATCACTTTATCTATAAATAAATATAATAATATTGTCCCCGTAGCAGTAATACGGATATCGCAACCTGTGTTGTTTTCTTAGGAAACTGTTCGTTATCGACGAATACCAATTATACCTACATATCTATAGTTTTACATTCGTTATGTACTTGTACAATTGTTTATCTTTGACGACGATCGATAACAGTACAAAATATAGCTGTAACCCATAATAACATAGTATAAAATAGTATAATAATAATATTTTTCTTTCGTAACTTATTATTAACGAGAACTGCGATACCTCATAATCTTGATATTGCCTACAAAAGGCTACACGGGTAACGCTCGTCACTACGAGACATTCAACGAGTTAACGACGATTGACGAACACGGGTTTAATTTATCGGACATCGCTTCATTAAAAAACAGGTATTTAGTATAGTCTATTTTAATTATTTACATAATAAATATTTTTGAATATGGATTACGGAATAAGTATGTGTACTATGTCTATATTTTAATATCTTACCTTGATTATACGTCCGTATGACCGTAATACTGATAGTGATACACGCTACACGCATAATGTAACGCACATAATACACATTACAGTAATTATTATTTATTATGTTAAGCACATTTCTATAAATATCCAAAATTAATATATTTTATTTCAAACCAAATTTCACATTTATTTTGTCCATGGATTACAACATTTTTGTCTATGTAGATGTAGAATCATTAAAATCATTCTATCTAAATTTTAAAAACAATACTGATAGGTAGTATTATTTTCACAGGCATTTATTTACAAAACGATACTTTGTAGTTCGTATATTTCTGTATCATGTCATCAAGAGATCGAGATAAGTTTAGAAGTTATCCGTCAGGAAATGCGAAAAGGCAGAAAAAAAACATAAGGGATAAAAGTTTAAATAAAATGCGTGGCTCTATCAACAAATATGTAAATTATAAATTTGATACTCCTTCTTCAAGTATAGAAATAGACAACGAAGTTGAAATTAATAAATTACAAACCGAAAGTAATAATAGCGGTAATGACTTTATTATAAACACAGTAAACGATTATGATACGACAGATTATATTGAGAATGATAAATTTGACACTCCTTCTTCAAGTATAAAAATAGATAACGAAGTTGAAATTAATAAATTACAAACCGAAAGTAAAAGGAGCAGTAATAACATTATTATAAACACAGTAAATGACTACGATATGACAGATATTGGTTGTTGGCCTGAAATAATAAATAATGATTTCAGAAAAGAGCTTATAAAACTGGGGCCAATACAAGTTAAAAGCTATAATTTTCCTCAATCTGAAATAAATGGTGAGCTAAGACGTTTTAATCCGACATTATATGACAAACGTTTAGACAACGGAGATGTTATTAAACGAAACTGGCTGGTATATTCAAAATTTAAAGATAGAGCTTTTTGTTTTTGTTGTAAACTTTTTGACTCTCATTCTACAGGTAATTTAAGCAAGAATGGTATAAACGATTGGCGACATATTGGGGAAAGACTAAAGTCTCATGAAATCACGATTCCACATTATACTTCCTTACAGTCATGGATTGAATTAAAACAAAGAATATCAGAACTCAATACTATAGATAAACTACATCTGACTAAATTAAACGCGGAAAAACAACATTGGTATGATGTTATTACACGAATACTAGCGGTTATCCATTTTTTAGCTAAAAATAGTATTGCATTCAGGGGTTAAATTAAATTATTTAAGAAGCAATCTATCACAGCATAAGTTATCGGACCTGGCCCTTATCAGCATCGAACATAGTATTGCCGATTCTTTGAGCTACAATGAGACAATTGATCAGTTTGCATCAAAAAAAGCACGGAAAAAAATATTTAAATAATATTATGTTTTGTTAATTTTTTTTTATTCTTAGTAAACGTAATTATACTCATTTCATTATTATTATAATTTATGTTCAATATAATAAAAATATTTATAAATAAAATATTGTTTGTACATTGTTTATACAAACAAATTTAGGCTTCTAACATAATTAAAAGAGCTTTAAGATTACAAAATTATATAAGAAGTTAGTCCCTAAAAAATAAAATAAATGTGTATATTGTATAATAATTAATAAATTAACATATACAGTCATTTGCCGTATGGGGCCCCGCGAAATTCTGCACCGGGCCCCAAAAACCATCGGGCCGGCACTGCCATTATTCATTATTAGAGACCGGGAATTATATGCATTTGCATGTTCGTATATACTAAGTGTATGCACGATCATGAGGGTTTGAAATGTGGGCGTTTCAAATCAAACTGATTTCATAGAACAAATTTTTTTTTTGAATATGGGTTTAGTCCTAAGGGTACCATAATATTTTCTTATTAGTACATACAGTTTGAATATTTTATACACTTATAAAAAATAAATTGACTATTAATATTCCTCTTTTCGTCGTTGTGTGATGTATCCAGTAAGCGCAGCGCACGAATATATATATTCTGCATGTACTCCTGAGACCCGATAAGTATGACTGTGTAATGTGTTTATTATAATGGTCGTGTACACAAATTACTTATTATACTTTCCATTTTAAGCCGACCGGCTCACCGCCGTTATAAAAATATAGCTATAGCCTATAGGTATTAACGCGTATCCATATTCATCATTGATTAGCCAGTGAAAAAGGATGTGCTGTGGCGACAAAAACATTGTTCTATAAAACACCGTCGCACTCGCACAAGCAGGCTTCGGCTGTGGTCGTGAAATATGGCAAGAGATTAGGTGCGAAGGTAGTGTTTTAATTTCAAGTTAGGTACTCAAAATAACAATTTTCAAAAAAATTTCTATTTTTTTGGTAGTAATATGTATATATAGTTATAACTTATAAGTATTTATAATAATACTTGAATTATTTTACTTTTGACCAAAATCTGGTGCTTCAAGCCCAGAAACCACTCTCATAGTCGAATATCAAAAATTGTTTGACCAAAAATTTGATGACTTACAAAAAAAACACACATATAATGGTCCAACGCAATCACAATACAATCATCACTTCACTCAGAATCTAAAATGTATTCTTTTATTCAATGAAGTATAAAACTTAAGATATCATAAAAGTAAAAAACACATTTTTTTTAACAATTTTATTTTTAAGTGATTTTTATGAATTAGTTACTTTTTGTACCTATTAGGTACAAAAAATGAGATAATGTCGATAGTTTTCGAAATACCGAGTTCCTCGAGTAGTTCCGTTAAATCATTATGTTTAACATTATAAATTATAATGGTGCACCTGCAGCAGCACATTACCTATATTATTGCGATATATATATAATACAATAGAAGCTGTAAACCGATGATCACATAAAAATATTAAATACCTAAACAGGCAGTATAACAGTTTTAAAAAAAATATTGATTAGAATAAAAGTTCTTTCATTTTACATATATCATTCTGTTATATATCTCGTATACTTGTACATATATAGCTGTCAGTCACACGGAACAGAAGTCATTTGCAACAAATGTGATTACTGATTACTAATAATTACCAATATCATGCTAATAACTTAATATACAGTTAGTTACGTAAATTTGACAGTTGTTTCAGCTGCTGTTTACCCCGCACAGACCTCTGCATGCAGTTATAATATAACTAATAATAATACCTACATCAATACCTAACTTCGATAATATTATACTATACCGACAAAACCGCATGCGCAAACGGTTTTTATAAGACGGTCATGTCGTGTAAACTTCCTGTATATTATATTATTATTATTATTTATTATTACATCGCATAGGTATCGCGTCGTCGACCGCTGTTATAATAATACATACCTACCTACCTACTCCGCGACTGCCACCTCTTGTGTAACGCGTGCAAGTGCGATACGTATAAATGTGTATATTATTGCCATTCAAATTATATATATATATATATATATATGGGTAGGTGCCTACGTCCTACATTTATGTATATATATATACGCGCACAAGCACTGCTGCAGATTTCTCCGTTTACAAAAACACTTTCCTCCGTTTCCGCACACCTTAAGGTCAAACACAGGTACGGCCTTCTTTTTATTCGGTAACCGTTGCGATGTGATGATGATGATGATGATGACAACGCGTTACACAATATTGAACATAATACGTATATACCATCCGATCGCGCACAAGTGTTTATTTGTATACATTTATAATGTGCATATTGGGTACCTACATATTTTACGCGGCACATCCGAACGTTTAATAATGTAAGTATAGGTAGGTAGGTAGGTATTTGTTTTGTATTTGGCTGGTCATATAATATGCGCACCGGTTCGACAGATTTTATTGCTAAAAAAAAAAAAAGGAAATAATACATTGACGAAATGACTGTTGTTGTTGTTGTTGTTGTGATGTATGTCGACTGTCGAGCGGTCGTGTTCATTTGCAAAATAATATAAATACCAATACACCATTCCCATACGTACGTATTAGGTATATAGTAGATCTTATTGAGTTTAATATCCATTTTTTTTTTTTTTTTAAACTGCGGATTATATGGCGGATCCTAAAACGGTCTAGAAACGACTGTATATAAAGTCGAAACATTGTCGGGTACTTTTTTAAGTAAATTTACGGATTGCTTATGAAAGTGTTCTGAAAAAAATTCACGATTAGTATCTATAATATGAGTGCTGCGTTAGATAACCCGTTATGGCTTTATAGTATTCTTTAATTTATCCCGGCAAAGTTTTAGACTTTTAGAAGGTATACACGAATTCGTAGAGATATGATTATCACACAATGCAAATTATGAAAATATTTTTAATTAAGTCTTTAATTTAATAATCTGTTTTATTTAATTTGAGAACACTATATATTTCTACAAACAAATTAATATAGGTAGAGAATAATGATTTAAGTAGTTAAATTGATACTTTTAAATAAGTAATACCTATATGTACTAATAAATTCAATGTTTCCTAATAACAATCCCTAACAACTAACAATTAGTCTTATAAAATAGGTACAGACGGTACAGTGGTAGAATTGGGAAGGGGAAATGCGCAGAGGGATGAAGCTCCCCCCCACTATACTTTTACTCTCTTTTCCTTGCGTACCAAAACTATTTTTTCTTTTGCCTAGACAGGGGGCGGCATTACCTTAAGAACAAAATTGTATTTTTGAAATGTGAACATAATTGATGTGTGTTTAACATAGAATGTTTAATTCAAAATATTATGCGTCCAAACCATCAATCAAGATACCATCACTGATCATTTTTTTTATTTCCTACTGAAATATATAGATGTCGTTAAATTGCTATCAAAACGGGAATTATAATAATACAAAAAAATGTCTTTTTTAAAGTAATTGGATGTATGAAAAGCAATTGGGAAAATGTCGAAAAATTGGGTGAATATAAATCCACAGTCACCATTATTATTATATGTTACATATATTATATTTTGAATACCTACAATAATGTCAGTATGTTAACTAAGCAGAAAATATGAAGTATTAAATATGTAGGAAGGGGAAAACCCCTCTCGGGTCTGTGTTAAATAATTATACACTTGGAACGCAGTTTATAAATTGTTAGATTGAACTCCTTTACTTAATTGTTTCCCAATTCAAACAATGACTAGGTGTAAAGACAAAATAATTAATACAAAACTAAAATTTAAAACAAGTTAATAAATTACAATAGGTACATCTAACATCTAACAATTACAAGCTTAGATAATTTGATAAATTTAAGTATACTCCATTAAGCTCAGATATTTTCTAAAAATATTATAAAAATAGGCATGTCTTAGCAGTTAGCACCATAGATAATAAAGATATATCTTTATTATCTATGCTTAGCACTAAGAAAATAATATAATAGTGGTTAAATGAAAACAACCGGACCCCGGCCCATCGGGTTCTGACTTATAAAAAGACGTGCTACACTGACATATTTTGATGTCTCCGTCTTACAAATTTAAAACATAGCAAAAACTGTTTTGTGCGGGAAAGAACCAAGAAGGCTACAGTCGTAACTTAGAAATACAATTTTCATCACATAAAAAGGAGAACTTTGGCTGTGAAATATCGTTTTATTTTTTCCAATATCGAAACTAAAAATAAAGTTATTTAAGTTTGAAAAACATTAAAAAAATGGATTTTGAAACAATAAGAACTTTTTCGTATGAGCGATATCAACTATCAAGAGAATTAAAATTAAAATTCACAGATAATGTTTTCAATTATATTTTATATCAATTTAGAGTCTTAACTATCACTACCGCCTCAGTGGTTCTATCCCTCATTCCCTCGCAAAACAATTGTGTCTATGTTGTACATTTATAAGACGGAGACAACACATACGGTTAGATTATATATTATTAGATGATTATTATAATTATTAAGTTTCAGGCTCTCTAGGTTGTAGTTTCATCCTAAAATCAGACAGGGGAAAATGCTCACTTTTCCACCCCTCAAATTACGGTACTGTGTGTTTAATTAAGTACAGTTATAGGCGGTAGTAGTTAGGTAGGTACAAAAGCAGGGGCGCCATTTCAGTTTTTTTTAGGGATGTGCAAACAATTAAAGAGGCCAATTTTTCCCACCGCCAAGCCAATCCTTAAAAAAACGTTTCTCGTGTTTTTAATTTTTCAATATAGAATTTTTAGTGTCAAAAACATACTTAGCTATTAATAGTTACCTATATTTGAAATAAAGGTATCAAAAAAAAAAAGGAAAATACAAACTAATTATTTAAAGCTAAGTTTGTGACTAAAGCATAAAGTAAAGCGTAATGCAAATAATGAACAACTTGAAATATAATAGTTTATTATTATATTGACCTTAATATGTTTATAGTTAACATTAATACAATATATAAATATAAAATAATGGCATAGGTATTATTATAAAAGCATAGCAGCATAGGTTATTATTTAAGCGGGTATCTCCGTTGCTTCATATCTACACCTTTATATAAATCTACGCACTTAGCTTCTTCTTTCTCTACATTTAAAACCACAAGATCACTCAGTCTGTTATCTCCCATTTTAGTACATAAGAAAGTTTTAACATTTTTAAGGGATGAAAAGAATCGTTCATTTGAAGCAGTAGTAATTGGAAGAATCTTTAGTATAGAAATAATTTTTAAAGTTTCAGAAAAGGCTGTAGGAAGTTGTGATAAAGAGGATACGATAAAAT